GGCCTCCGGTGTGCCGCCCGGCTCGCCCATGATCATCGAACTCTCCCTCAAGCTGGCCATGGTCTATGCCAAGATGGAGGAGAGGGAGAAGGCGGAGTCGGGCTTTGCCTTCTGTCTGATGATGCAGCAACAGAACTGTGCTGGCATTCCGAACGACGGGGTAGAAGGAGGAGGCGCAGGAGATGGTAGCAAGCCGCCGCGGGCACAGTTGTCAGAGGAAGACCATAATAGCCTGGCTCTCCTGGGTGTCGTACAGAACTCCTATGCCCAGTAAGTTACTCTTTTCACTAACCTTTTCGTGGAGTGGAGGTCACGTAATTGGGCAGCCTTGCTCACACGAGTCTCAGTATTGAGATAGCTGTGCCCTTCTGAAGACTTCCTTGTTATAGTCGAGTTAACCATCGGGGTTTAATGTCAACAGGGGTTCGGTTTTTTATAGTGGGGGTTTACCTGACCACATCTACCAGTCGGCACACTGTATTCGATCGCTGGACGAAGGAGACGAGGACGGTGATAATTACTGTCATTTTCACGGAGTGAATGACTGACACAAAGGGGTAGGGGCGATATGCGATCGCCACATGGCGTCGGCGTCAGACACGTAAGTGGGAACTTCTGTATTAGCGTCTTCTGACAGCACAGCACTGGCTTCGCCAACGCCTCAACTGTTGCTAGCACCCGTTGGCATAGGCCCTTAAATAAGTTGGCTGATATCCGGTGGACAATCTGAAAGACTTCGTTAGGATTGACTCGGTGATTCTTACCGACAATGTGTGTGGGAATAGGACCCGAAATCGCTCTAGTTTCACTTTTATTCAGCCAGGCCGGTATGTGTCCACGTGCTTTCTTTTCCAGGCGCCTCGTTGTTAGATCACAGGATCAGGTGAAAAAATAAATGCACATTGATGGCTTTCAACGGGAGTCAGTCTTTACCTCTCAAGCGTAGGAGGGGGTGAGAGTTCGTGAATAATACGCATTAGCTCGCCATGGAAAAGCGTCATGCGATTGTACAGGCCCGATGGCGAATGGTCGAAAACCCATGTTAGACTTTTAAAACCTCATTCTAGCTTCACACACGGAATGCAGTGCCGTGCCGTTCCTACTTAGGACTCTACCCTACCGCATAGCCAAACGTGAGAAATGTGCCGGTGCAGTTTGGTGACTGTTCGGACCAATTTGTAGAAGCTGCTAGCTCACTTATCCACAAGCTGTTTTCGCAGAGCTATGTGGACCTTCCTTGAGGAACGGTCTCTCTCTCTCTGTAACCATGCACAGCGTCCTCCCAGTAACCCAAAATGTTTCATCCGTCGTCCCGCCTGTAAAACTGTTCTGCCAAATCATGAAGTTTCGACAAATGCCTTACGTGGCCACGTGACATGTTTTTGTTATTGTTGTTGTTTAAAGGGAAACCCTATCTGCGCCTGGAGGTAGCCTAGGTAATAGGAGTTGCTGTTGCAAGGAAAGAGCTTCCTTTTCCCAGTGCCACTGATTTGGGACAAGACCAACCAGGGTGCACGATGGTTTTGCTGCACGTATGGCGATCCAACTAAG